TATATATATATAGAGAGAGAGAGAGAGAGAGAGAGAGAGATTTATTATTTTTATATATCCATACATGAAGATATTACGGTATTATAAACATTAACACCATGATTTTCTGTAAAGCTGTTTTGAAACAATGTGTGTTGTGAAAAGTGCACTACAAATATATTTTACTTAACTTGACTTTAAAAGAAGAAACCAATTATCTAGTTGTTGAAATATGTTTGGGTTATTTTAATTATGTTTTAATTTAAGCAGTTACGCAACTGAAGTCCTGGCAATCATATAAAGCTTGTCTCACTACATTTGCTGATGGTGTAGATAGATGCGTCAAGCTAAGACAGAGAGGAAGTGATTTTATCTGTTGAGTTTGCATAAGAACGTTTCCTCATAGCGATGCAGCTGTATACTGTCTGCAACAATTATTTGTATCAGCATTTTTGCCCTTGTTTTCCAATATAAATATCTACGCGCATTTAAAACAAGATGCATACAGTACTGTTCAAAAGCTCGGGGTCAGCAAGATTTTTCTTCTGCTCATCAAGGCTGCATTTATTGGATCAAAACTACAGCAAAAACAGTAATATTGTAAAATATTTTTGCAATTTAAAATAACTATTTTCCATGATAATTTATTCCTGTGATCAAAGCTGAATTTTCAGCATCATTCCTCCAGTCTTCAGTGTCACATGATCTTCAGAAATCATTCTGATATTATGATTTGCATATAAACATTATGGATTATTATCCATGTTGAAAACAGCATTTTTTGTAAATAATATCTTGAAATACGCTTAGTTTCCTTACCCAAAAAGTGTTTTCTTGCTTTAAGATAATCCTTAAAAAATAAGACAGATTTTTTTGCTAGATTCATGTTTAAAACAAGAAAAATCTATTTGCCAGTGGGTTAATAAAAAAAAAAAATGCAATTCAAAACGGAAATGGAAAAAGAATTAAGAAACTGTGTTGAAAGACACCATGCTGCATCATGCAGTGCAATTACAGTGTTTCAGCTTAAAACAGCCGTTTCTAATATAAAATAAACATCAAAATGACATTATTATGAGACCATATTGTAACTACTGAACTCTCCAAATTTCACACACAATAAATTAACATTGGCTTAGTACTGGGAGAATATGCTGTCAGAAAAAACTGCCAACCATTACATTCCCTCTGCAAACAGTCAGAAAGGAAGTGAAGCGTTCTGCATACGGTCTGTTTCCCAATGGCATGAATTCTTTTCCAGCAGACGGATGAGGGAAACTCTGCTGGTCGCTCCATATTAATGCTGAATCGAATTAAAATCACATGAAAAGCGGAAGAAATGACTAAAAAGCTCAGCCGAGAGCCGCTCACCTTCATGGACTCGATGTACAGGACGTATTCTCTGAGCACAGGGAGAAAGTCTTCGCTCATGTCCTCCGTGAGCTCCTCCAGAGCGCTGGAGCAGTTCGACACGCACCCCGACACCCCCTCCAGAGGATCATGGAGGTCCTCCTCAAAAGACGACCAGGAGGAGTAGACTGGCCCGTACTCTCTCAACTCCATCAGGAACTCTGACACACAGAAACAATGAAAAAGTGGACTGTTTCCTACTTTTTTGTAGTATTTATTTTTACCGCCAAATTCCACTAATAGGCTCCGTTTTAAAACCTATTGAGCTGTCTTTCAGTCTACTTCCTAAACAGGGTTGCCAGGTTTTCACAACAAAACCCACCCAATTGCTACTCAAAACTAGCCCAATCTCGAGGGGTCCCCCAGTAAAAATCACATTCCGGGGGGTAAAATACGTGTTTCTTGGTGGGGTTCCCCTGGTAATATTCACATTTCAGGTGCTAAATATCATGTTTTTGGGGTCGCTTCAACCCGCGGCAACAGTGTTAAAGGGATAGTTCACCCAAAAATAAAAATGTGATGTTTATCTGCTTACCCCCAGGGCATCCAAGATGTAGGTCACTTTGTTTCTTCAGTAGAACACAAATTATGATTTTTAACTCCAGCCGTTGCAGTCTATCAGTCGTATAATGCATGGCAATGGTAACAAAATCTATGGGAGTAAAAAAGACATGCACAGACAAATCCAAATTAAACAAGCTCACAACGCTTGCCCCGCCTCCGGGGTCTTCTGATTGGTCCACTGTTTTGGAACTGACATTGATGATTAAAAATTTTAATTATTTTAACTTGACACGGCGTCTTAAAAACATGGCACTCGATGGTCATGCATGCATGTGTTTACATAAAAAAAACAATGGAAAACTAGTACATTGGAATGCGTTCTGAGTGAACGGCCCTGACAGCTGCTTGCTTTAAAGCAATCTACTGTATAAAGTGCTTTATAAATAAATGTGACGTGACTTCGCTTGAGTGCTGAACTGCAGAGCTGCTGTAAACATATCCACATTGTTATGGTCAGATGCTTTCTTAACTGCTGTTTTCTCACCACTGTCATTTTTGTTGTGTGTTTATTTTGTTATTGAGTGGAGAGCGGGCAGCACATATTTACATATTCATCTCAACATCACTCTCAGCAGCTCAGGCGGCAGCATTGGGATGTTAACTAAACAGAAAACTGCCACAAAGATATTTCAAACTTCTTTTTACCCTTTCATGAAGAACGAAAAAGAGCTTCGCTGTCAGTGTATCCAGGCCTTTAGGATGGTAGACTGAATGGATGTCATTTCTTTTAAACGCCGGTGAGATGCTCTTTACCTGACTGCTCTTTGATGATTCTCTGTGCTATTCTGTCAATGGTGCCCATTTTCTGTGTGAACAAGTCCAGATAGTCGCCCATGGCAGCAAACTCCGCCGGCCGTGCCCTCAGTTTATAACCACCCGTCACATACTTCACAGATTCCCCCATTTTAGTCAGCAGAGCCAGGCCTTGACGCTTATTCAAGTCCTGAAAGTCAAGCATACAGTACATCAATTCTGTCTCACGGCCAAGAAATCCCTGCCAAACCCAATGAAATCCCACTGGGTTTCTGGAACAAGCTTTCATGCTGGAACATAGCCTGCTAGCAACATTTTGCAAACGCTCAATGTTGTCAGGCTACTCTCAAAAAGACATCTGGATCTGGTCATAAACAGCTAATAAGGGTTTCCAGCATTGGTAAATGGCAATCCAACACATCACCGGCACAAACTGTGAGAAACTATACAAACATGAGACATGACACATTTATGATTCCTATACACTTAAGAGTTGTTTCCAAATGTAATTTCCAAATTATTTTAATTTATGAAGTCAGTTTGGACTCTGGAAATATGTTCACAAAAGTATTTAGTAACCTTACATTTACATTTATTAATTTAGCAGACGCTTTTATACAAAGCGACTTACAATTGAGGAATACAACAAGCGATTCATCATAAAGAGGCAAATAAACGCAGGATGTGCTTGCAATACAGTTTCAGGCATTGTTCAGATTAGTACAAGCTAAACAGAGAGAGATTAAGAAAAAAGACAGCAAAGTTTTTTGTTTGTTTTTTTTTTTTAAGATGAAATCAAATGGTGACGAAAAAGATTCGTTTTCAGGTGTTGCTTGAAAATTGTCAGGGATTCAGCATTCCGGATAGGGGTGGGAAGATCATTCCACCAGCCAGGAACAGTGAACGAGAATGTTCTGGAAAGTGGTTTTGAGCCTCTCTGTGATGGTACCACGAGGCGTCACTCACTCGTAGATCTCAGACTTCTGGAGGGGATGTAGATTTGTAGTAGTGAGTGGAAGTAGGCGGGTGCTGAGCCTGTAGCTGTTCTATATGCAAGCATCAATGTCTTGAACTTGATGCGAGCTGCAACCGGGAGCCAGTGCAGGGAGATAAAGAGAGGTGTAACGTGGGCCCGTTAAAGACCAGTCGTGCCGCTGCATTCTGAATCATTTGTAGAGGTTTGACTGTGCTTGATGGAAGTCCAGCCAGAAGAGCATTGCAATAGTCCAGTCTAGAAATGACAAGGGCCTGGGCAAGAAGTTGTGCAGCATGCTCAGTTAGGAAGGGCCTAATCTTTTTGATGTTGTGCAATGCAAACCTGCAAGATCGAGCAGTTTTTGCAATGTGGTCTTTGAAAGTCAGCTGGTCATCAAAGGTTACACCAAGATTTCTGACCGAACTTGATTGGGTAATTGTTGATTAACCTAACTGGATGGTGAAATCATGCTGTAGAGTTGGAGTGGCAGGGAAGACAAGAAGCTCAGTCTTTGCCAGGTTGAGCTGTAGGTGATGATCTTTCTTCCATGCTGAGATGTCCGCCAGGGCAACCTGAGATCCTTGCAGCTACCGTTGGATCATCTGGTTGAAATGAAAGATAGAGCTGTGTGTCATCAGCATAGCAATGGTAGGAGAAACCATGTGCCTGTATGATGGGACCCAGTGATGTAGTGTATATGGAGAAGAGAAGGGGTCCCAGAACTGATCCCTGAGGATCTCCAGTGACCAGTTGATGTGATGCCCAGTGATGAGAGGGCGGACAGGAGGATCTGATGATTCGCAGTGTCAAAAGTGGCAGATAGATCCAGCAGAATGAGAATTGATGATTTGGAATCAGCTTTTGCTATCCGCAAGGCTTCAGTGACTGAGAGTAGCGCAGTCTCAGTTGAATGTCCACTTTTGAAACCTGATTGGTTAACGTCCAGTTGGTTATTCTGTGAAAGAAATGCAGATACCTGATCGGAGGAGAGAATTTAATGTTTTGAAGAGATTACGTGTGTCAGAAGCACTGTTGACCTTGTTGGGAAAATATGAAGACTTGGCAGTATGGACTTCAACAAGTGCTGGCGTGGAGGAGAGAGGACATACTGTATATTGTCCAGACAAGAAGTTAAAGTGGAGCATAAAGTGTCAGTTGCTGCGTTCACATCCAGAGAAGAGAAATGGGTAGGTGAGGGAAGAGAGGAAGACACTACAGAGGAAAGATGTGAGGGTGAAAGGGAACAGAGGTTTCTTCTAAAGGTAACAGGCAGATGGGTTGGTGGCTCACAGGTAGCAAGATGTAGGTTAAATGTTGTGTGAGAGAAAGAGAAATTGTTAGATAGAGCAGCTGGGGTTTCTGAGTCTTCTGAACAAATCCAGGTCTCAGTCAAGCACAAGATGCTAAGTGCAGTTTGGGAAGCAATAGCAGGAATAAGATCTGCTTTGTTGACAGCAGACTGACAATTCCAGAGACCCACAGAGAAAGACAGAGGTATAGAAGAAGTCGTGCAGATAGGACGCAGGTGAGCAAGATTGCATTCAAGATCTTCAAAACTAACCCTTCAGGAATATTAAAGTCGCAAAGATTCGAAGATCTCTTCTTCTGTATTGTTTTGTACATCCGAGTGAAAAAGACTTTCAAAAAAAGAAAAATTATCAGAAAAAAAAACGTAGGGTGGGACACTCAAAAGCGAAGGTAGATGAACATGACCTTGCAGAGGCGGAGTTTAAGCTGACTAAATGACTGGATATGACCTGCATATGACACTATAGAGAAGAATTGTTTCACCACAAGACCTAGTTATAGCATTTAATTCATCATTACAAAACATAAAAAAAAACACACGGATGAATCGTTCACAACAAGCTGGGTAGATTACTTACAAATTGTAGTCTGTTACGGATTACACATTTTAAGTAATGCATTCTGACCCCTTTCTGGATTACTTTTAGATTACTTTTTTTCTCACTTGTTTTAAACTTACCATTAAACGTACTGCACTGATATAAAAAAGCAAAGAAAAAGAAAATATATTAAATTTTTTTATATCAACATCATAAAATACATTAAACATTACATCTTGCAATTATTTGCTTCATACATGGTCTAATTGCTCGAGAGGTGCTTTTTTACCCAAATTCAGACGCAGGGATTGCAAATTTATTTACAATACAAATGTACACAACCATTCTATATTGTGAATATAGCTCAAGCTAAATAGTATGACACAGCAGGATTTTTAGAAAGGAAAATTTATTTACAATACAAATGTACACAACCATTCTATATTGTGAATATAGCTCAAGCTAAATAGTATGACACACAGCAGGATTTTTAGAAAGGAATATTTTAAACAAAACAAACAAATTCTACATGATTTACCGCCAATGTGTGAATAGTATGTAATCATGTAATCCATAAAATGCAACTGTAATCTGATTATGAGCATTATAAAATGTAATATGCTCTCATTACGAGTACTTTATTTTTGGAATCTGATTATGTAATCCAGATTACATGTAATCAGTTACAACCCAGCTCTGTCTATAATATGCATTTAGAAAACAGATAGTGTGAATGTTTAATTTCATGCAGACTTTAAAGCACTGACCTTTGCTGAGAGAAATGCATTGAAGTGTTCGTTAAAAGAAAGCACAGGATGGTCTGCAACACGTTTGAGGAACTTGTCTAGTGCCTTTCTCCTGGTCTCCACGAACTCCTCTGAGAAGCGGTCCACCACTCCCTTCATAACAAACTTCTCAGGCAAAGGCTAAACGATTGCAGAAAGGAGACACAACAACAAACGTAGTACATCGCATGGTCTGAAAATAGCAGATTTTGCTTAATCTTGGTGTATCAGTGATTGGAGCAAAAACAATCCCCACAATATTAAATGCCTCATTACATAACAACTAATTGTACTAATGTGCAAATGCATTAAAACTAGTGGTTTTGAGAGCAGTGCAGTGAGGGCTTTTCCTCTACCTACTGGAATAAGATGGGTGGGTTGGCTTTCCTCTAATTTGTTCCTCAGCCAGTCAAAGTCCTGGTAGCGTCGCCTTACCGAGTACTCAGGCAGGTCAAACTCTGTTCTGGTGGTCTGTAGGTCACACAGAAACAAAAACAGGTCAATAACTTTTTTTTTGACACTTTTATGCAGCAAGGATGCATTAAATTGGTGAAAAGTGACAATAACAACATCTATAATGTTACTGCTGATCTTTTGAACTTTCTATTCATCAAAGAAATCTTAAAATGTGTCAACGTTTTCATAAAAATATGAAGAGGCACAACTATTTTTAACATTGATAACCAGAAATGTTTCTTGAGCAGTAAATCAGCGTATTAGAATGATTTCTGAAGATCATGTGACACTGAAGACTGCAGCAATGATGCTGAAAATACAGCTTTGATCACAGAAATAAATTACATTTTACAATATATTCACATAGAAAACAGTTATATTAAATTAAAATAATATTTCACAATATTACTGTTTTTACTGTATTTTTAAACAAATGAATACAGCCTTAGTGAGCTGAAAACTTCTTTCAAAAACATTTAAAAAATAAACTTCTGAATGACAGTGTAAAATAGTGAAGTGTTTTACTACAGTAAAGGATGACAGGATCACACACACAGTTAAGCAACGACTCAATGGTGGTGGGACATATTTTGTGTCTTAAAAAGGGTTCCCACACTGTCTGACCAATGAACTCCCATTATTTAATTAATTACAACAAAAACTAAACTTAAAAACATTAAACAAAAATTTTAAATGTTGTCTTGGCACCCAACTGAAATAAATATTTTTTGAAATAAAAGTTAAAGAACTAAATTCTCTAAATCTGAAATAAAACGAAATAAACTATAATTAAAATAGAACAATTCGAAATATTAATTAATGCTATAATGTTATATAAATAATACTACAACTACACTGGTCGGTGTATTCTTTTAGCCATGATATATCACTGTATTATTTTGACTATGATCTCAACCCTGTTTCTCTCACAATCCCCAAAAAACTCAGCAATGAGTTTCCCAAGGGCTGATGGGAAATAACTCTCAGATGCATTGCGTCCATGCTGTGATTGGCTGTTTTTAATTAGCACCTCTATGTGACTCTGAGCCCAGAAACTGCCACAGTGAGCATGTTACAGATCACAATGTGAGCAAACAACCGCCACAAAAGCTAAACTACAGCACTTAGAAGAAAAGAGAAAAGCTGACCTCTTGACAATTAACTAATCTAAATACCAATCACACTAATTAGTCATTTTAGCAGCCACAGTGATTTACAAGTACAGTTAAACTGGAACAAGCTGATAGTTTAGGGATCAACAATTCGGATTAACCACTAAGCCACAATCACCCAACAAAATCTGTCTAAAGAGGCTCATTATCCTTCAGATATCTGTAGTAAAGTTTTAAATAACACCTTTATATAACCGCAGAAATAATAACAGCATCTCGTTGTCAGTAAAGCCTGTGAGCTTTGCCCTCTGACCTTTGTGCAGACTCTGTAGGTGATATATGTCTCCATAGTAGACACGTGTTTCTTGGGGTCTTCTACAGTCACAAACAGATCGCGCGTTTCTCCGTCCAGATCGTCATCGAGCTGTAGTCGGTTCAGCAGAGATGAAGAGGAGGCGGGGCTTGATGTGTCTACTGGAGTCCCATTGGGCAGGATCAGGCCCTGGGGGCGGGATTAACAAAGATTGAGCTAAACACAGATATTTGGAAAACAGAATAATGTAAATGTAAATGTGCACACACAAAACTAGGGCCCTATGATTTCCGTGATGTGAAAAATGCAGACAGAATCGCAGAATCCAGTCATAAAAATGAAAATTACAGAATAACGTGAAATGTCACGGAATTTGTCCAATTTTGGATGGATAAATCAAAAGTAGGTCAGTGCACTTATATCAAAATGTGATGAAAAATATCATTTAAATATAAATCCTGCATGTTCTTCGTGTCTGTGTGTGAATGAATGGCATGAACATGATCTCTAGAACTGCTCTGAGAGTCACTTCATCAGCATTTTACGGTTTCTTTTGAGTTAAACTATCTCATATCATATACAAACAGAAACCTAAAGGTCTTCACAGCAACCCGTCAAAATAAAAGTTCAGTTTAACTTGAAGAAACCGTGACAGAAATAATACTTAATGTAATGATAGTACTACTACTACTACTTATAAAATTATTATTAAAGCATTATTTGTACAGGAATATTTACCAGAAGGATTATTTACCAAAATTTATTTAGCAGAAAAATGTAAATACACAACACAGTATTTCTGAAAAAAGATTATTTTTTAAATAAAATCAATTAATTAGAGATGCTTTTGATTATTAATATTTAATGAAATTATTCAAATGGAATCCAGAAAATTAATAGAAAACAGAATTTGGTAAAAAAAAGAAAAAAAACATTTGAGAAAAAAAAACATATTTCATATAGGGCCTATTTAACAATTTAAGTTTCATTATTTCAATTAATTAGACATGTTTTTTGATGAATAAAATTTAATTTAACCATTAAAACAGAGTCTAGAAAAATTAAAACGAAAGAAAGAAAAAAAACAGAATCCAGAAAAATGTAAACGGAAAAAACGGAATTTGGAAAAATATATAAAAAACAGATTTTATAGGGCCCTACAAAACCCTCCAAAATAAAATATAAAGCCAAACTTGATAAACAGGATAAATGAAAAAATTTTGGTAAACTCAATAAATGGTTTTAAGCAGCACAACTGTTTTCAACATTGACAATAATCAGAAATGTTTCTTGAGCATATTAGAATGATTTCTGAAGATCATGTGACACTGAAGACTGGAGTAATAATGCTGAAAATTCAGCTTTGATCACAGAAATAGATTAAATTTTAACATATATTAAACTAGAAAACAGTTGTTTATAAATTGTGATTATATTTATTTATTGTAGTTAATATTTAGATATTTTATTGCAATATATATACAGATAGATTTTTTATTTTTTACATTACGATCTTTTACATATGTGTGTGCGTGTGTAAGACTTTTTAACGCTTAAATGCTAATCAACTCTAAACTAATTTGAGTTCGTAGGAAACCTGCAGCAAAATGTTGGAATTATTATAACATCCTATTTTCAGATCCAGCATTTAGGAAACTGTGACAGCTTTTTCCTGATCACATGCCCACTTTTGAGTGCTAAAACAAGTTCGCTGACCTTCTTTTTGCTGAACAGCAGAAACGGCCCAAACCTGCCTCTTTACTCCGAGTATTGACATGAATGGACACACAAGATAAACAAACGGGCAACAGCCCATCATCTTTATCATTACAGGGTTTGTTTCTGCTATCAGTATCCTTCAGACACTTCACTACATCCAAAAACAGTCCTATATCTTTATCATGAACAAACATAGTTTTATTACCAAGCAGTGATTCTCAAAACTCAAAAAGAGGTTCATCAGTTAGAGATGAACAGTTAACTGTGGAGATATTTGACATAAAACCAGAAGAAAACTAGAAAATTCACTCATTCAAGACTAAAAGTATGGTGCTTCTGCTTTGTTCTAATAAAGTATATATATACACTGGTGTGAAAGCCTATGTGTATGCGGTGCAGAAGCAGCACGGACTCATTTTGCTTTCGCACAGGACGTGTTTGCAGTTCGCTCCTGATCAGCGGCTGTTTACCTTAGACTTTAATTATATGCATTTATGGTGTAATTACTAAATTTCCGTGTCAATCCATGTTAATTTTTACCACGAATAATGCGCTGTCACTTTAATTAAGCGCGTGCAGCACAGCAGAAATAGACTCCGTGCTCCTGGAGTGCACTGCCGGACCGCAATCGCGTGCAGTGTGAACGCTCTGATCC